CATTCCAGAATCACTTCACTCGAAGATCATGGAGCATCCAAAGAAAATCAAGAGAAACACATACGAGCAGATTCAAATTGAGCAAGACAGGATTGAAGGCATCAGAATGAATTGATCCTTGGTTTAATACCCTGAAACACTTGTTTGGGCCTATTTATCCTTTTCTTTCATAACCATGAACCATGACCTACATTACATGCCTTAAAAGTCTCTTCTAATCATACATGGATTTCTAAACATAAGAGACTATCTTCAGATTTCATCTCGCCCTTCAGGATTAATCTTTATTTGCAAAAAGTTTTTTAAAATCTTTAATGTATGATAGAGAAAAATAACAAAAGGGGGTTCAAGACGTAAATTCTGAGTGACGTATTGAAACCAAAGGAGGATTCGAGTTGAAAACCTGAAAAGGTGGCTCAAATATAAAAATTGTGCAGCTGAGGCGATCACACAAATTCTTTGATAAGGCATCGCACAATCTGAGCATGACCATGAAAGTTGGGAGTCAGAGAACACTTCCAGTAAAGGAGCATAAAAGCTACCCCATCAAACCTTTGAGCATCAAATAAATAAAAATGTCAAACCTTTGACCAAACACAATAACCTGAGACTTTTTTTTAACCATTTCCCAAAGATAACTTTGATCTTGGCACTTGTCAAATAGCTATAATTTATTGAAGAATTAATAATGTAATTAATTCTTTGATATCCAATGAACTCTAGTTTTATGATTCGTCTCAATTGTAAAACTGTGAAAGGGACAATATTTTCAAAACTTCTGAGTAAACATTTTTCGAAACTCTTGTAATTGATATTTTCAGAATTTTGAAAATAAAAGAGAAAGAAAAACATTTTTTCAAACAAGACAATCTCTCTAGGGTGGATCTTGGTAAATGACATGTGGCTCTCAGACACAAAACTCATGCTTAGAATCAATGTTGAAGCAAGAAATGAGGAACATTGGGGGAATCTTTGAAGATGCAACATCAAATGTTGGGGCATTTTTGGATATTCAACATCGAATATTGGGGTATCTTTGGGGATTCAACATCCTGATGCGAATTATCAGACCTTCTGAAGGCATTTCCTCCATATTCAAGAACAAGCAGACAAAGCACGAGACTCTATCCAGGAGATAAAATAGAACTAATTCATGTTACATGCATCTTAGACATACTTAAGAGCATCGCATTTATCATTTTTTGTATACATAAGTTTTTGCAACTTTTAGAGTTAGGTTTCAAAGATACTCGATTCAAAAGCACATTCAGAAATTGATGGTGGTTGCTCAACTTCACAGTGAAGGGGCGACTGACTGTTAACAAACAACTTTCTAAGTTTCATTCAGAGTTAATTTCAACTTCACGACGAAGAACCAACTTACTTAAGATTGAATTTCAACCTCATGACGAGGGATATCCAATTCGAGGCTCAACTTCACAACGAATGGTCCATCCACGATTTCAACTTCACGACGAAGGATATCATGCCCGATGAAGTGATTTAGTGTCACAGCAAACATGCCATCCACATATTTGACTTCTTTAAGTCAACGATTAGAGCTTTTGAAAGGATTTCTTTAACATGCAGGAACAAGCAGATTATCGATCACATTTGAGATTGTTTCTCTCGAAACAAGGGGTTGTCTCACTTGAGACTAATTTACTCAAAACAAAGTTTTGTCTCTCTTGAGACAGTTTCCATTGAAACAAAGTTTTATCTCTCTTGAGACAGTTTCACTTGAAAAAAAATTTATCTCTCTTGAGACAGTTTCCCTTGAAACAAAATCTTTGAATCTTTTTTCCTTGAAACAAATTTCGTCTCCCTTGTGACAGTTTCTTTTGGAACTAAGTTTTGTCTCTCTTGAGACAGTTTCTCTTGAAACAAATTTTGTCTGTCTTGAGACAGTTTCCCTTGAAACAAAATTTTGTCTCTCTTGAGAGAGTTTCTCTTGAAACACCAATCTTTGAATATGTTTCTCTTGAAACAAAATTTTGCCTCCCTTGAGACAGTTTCTCTTGAACACAAAAAAACCTTTGAAATTATTTCTCTTGAAACACAAAAAAAACCTTAGAAATTGTTTCTCTTGAAACACAAAAAAACCTTTGAAAATGTTTCTCTTGAAACCCAAGACCTTCGAGTTCGATTACACTCAGCTTCGAGGGCACATCATTTGTAGCATAGCTTAAGGCAAGAAGGGCTATCTGTCAACAAAATTGTTGAGTTCGATTCCATTCAGCTCGATGACACATCAATCACACCACTTTTCGGTTGCAGTCGAGGTTTTCAAGTCGAGAAGAAGACCTGGATTAGCTGTGCCTTAGTGACAAGCAACCATTTTCAAGCAGTATAGCTTATATCAAGAAAAGCTATCTTTCAACGAAGATTTTTGAGTTCGATTCCGATCCAAGGTCTTTAAACCGAGAAGAAGACCGAAGGGCAACGAGAAGCCACGTGTTGATTCAAATTCCAAACTACGGCTTCAATTCCATATCATTTCAAGATGAACTCGACTTCACGATGGAGGAGTCATCCGCAACTCAATTCGACATGGAGTTATTAAAACATCAGAGTCAATTTTTAACTCCACCGAACAAAAAGTATATCTTTTAATCTTTGCCTTATCCCCGTTACACGACTATGGGCAAAGAGGGGCAGTTGTCAACACACTTTTTTGTCTGGGTACAATATTCTCAACAACCCCAATTTAGTGGGATTCAGAAAATAAACGTTAGAGTTTTAGTAGGATTCAAACTCCTAAAAATAGGATAGAGTTTTACTATGATTCAAACTCTTTAAAATAGGATAGAGTTTTACTATTATTCAAACTCCTAAAAATAGGCTCCACAAGCATTATAAATAGCCATTATAACTCACTATTGTAACACATGATTTACATATAAAATACAGAGGAAAGCACGAAAAAATACAAAGGCAAAGCTATTGTAAACGATTTGAAAATGAAATAAAAGGTAACATCTTTTTTACCTTGATTCGTTCATTTCTCGCATGTGCATGCTATTTTTCTTGAGATTTAGTTCGAATAACCCAAAAAGTGGGTTGCGCCGATGACCAAAAAAGGGTGGGGTTTCAAAGTTTCGAACCTATATCTACCCCGAGGTGTGTTCCTATTTTTAAATATTCAATTCTCCCCGCTAAATCAATTTTTTTCTTCGAAATTTGCCCATCGATTTATTTTTCCTTTTAATTTGGTCCTTTACATTTACGTTTTAATTATTATTATTTTATTTATTTAATTTTATTTATACGCACATTTCCCTTATTACTCATTTTATTTAATTGCTTTGTTATTTTTTTTCATGTAATATTTTTTTTACATTTTATGCATTTTCTTTTTTACCTTAGTATATATTTTTATTTTTTTAGATTACATATATATATATATATATGTTATTTTTTTATCCGTTTTATTAATTTATATATATATTTACTATTTTTAAGTTTTTATTTATTATATATATATATATATATATTATTTTTACTTTTTTTTATTATTTTATTTATTTGTTTTATTTATATATTTTTTCTTCTTTTTCTTTATATTTTTTATTTTACTTACTATTTTATCTTTGCTTTCTTTATCTTATCTTTTATTTAATTTGTTTTTCTTCATTTTAATTTAATTTATTTATTTCTTACCTTTTTATCTAACACGTTTCTTGGCACTCTTAAGGGTACACCTTTAAAACTATCTAAGATAAGTAATTGGGATCGTATTTTTACATTTTAATTTTAAATTACAATTTTTTTAATTTAAGACAACTGGAAAATGCATAGTACCGAAATGGCAGTTTAAGGGTGCTAACCCTTCATTAATTGTAACCGACTCTCGAATCCGACACATCTTTGGAAAGACGCAGATCAGGTAAGATATAGGGTATCCGATTAACCCATTTGTTTTAAAATAAATGATCGGTGGCGACTCCAATTCGTTTATTCCAAGTCGAAGCCCAATTCCGGATCCACCCGAAAGACGGCCGTGACAGGTCACAATAGCGTCCGCGACGGCAATTTAAAACCCCGGTATAAACTTGTAGTTGGGTGCAAGTTGTAAAAATAAAAATTCTCACTGTGCACATGCTTGCTTTTTTTTTTTTGTTATTGCCTATCGTGGGCTAAGTCTCCCTAGGAATAAAGTGCATCTTATTATTTTAGAAAATAGTTAATTTAGTTAATATTAAGGGAAAAATAAAAAATAAAATTTTTTATACACCATTATTTTAAAAAATTAAAATTTTATATTATCATTCTTAAATTTCTGGATCTTTCACTGATATCTACACATTATTTACATTCTTCATCCAACTTTTCACATTATAGATAACAAACAATGAAAGAAAGAAACTACACACTTTGAATTTGTCTTAATCTGGGTGGGATCCTTTGTTGTGTGAAATCTAAATGCAAGCGTAAACTCAATGAGTCAACGTAATTGCTTTCACTCTCAATCTATTTCTTTCTTTAAAGTTTTTTTCAACTTTATGTTTTATTAGTAATATTTTGCAGCTTCAAAATTAGAAGACTTCATTCCCCTCATTGGGGTTTTAGTCTTCATAGTGTTTTCAGATATAAAAAAAAACATTTCAATAATTTTATCATTTCATTCACAATTTTTTCACTAAACCCAGATTTAAGAGCATTTGACTATAAACCTAGATTCTTTATCCAAAATCAAAGGAAAGGTGAAAATGAAAATTAGAAATTTTTTGTGCCAAGTTAAATATAAAATCATTATTCAAAGACATATTCGATAGTTTAGCAATAATTTAGGGGTAAAACTAAATATTAACTTTTTTAATATTGCCACATCATCAATTTAACAGAGATGACGGAAGAGTGACCATTTTGTTACAAATCAATTATGTTAGTGATCAATTTGTTACTTTGAAAATTTAAGTTTGAAAGAAGAAAATATACTCAAACATTAGAGAATATTTGCGTAATTTACCCTTAAAAAATAAACAAAAGGACCACACCGAACCGATCCCATGTTTTGGAGGATGAATAATTAGTAATGGCGGGAAACCCATGCATCTAAACGCAAATCAGTAACGACATGGTTTTAAATCTTCCATGTCGTCCCATTTCTGGTTTCTTACATCTCTTAAAGCACTGTCAAAGCATCGAAGGCTTAAAGCAGCTTAAATCTCTTCTCATCGTACAAGGTCTCACTGAAAACAAGTTATTGGTAGGACAATTTCTCAAGTCTTGCTTTTGTTTGGGTGTACCAAATTTAGCTCTCTCCACATTTTACAAATTTCAAAACCCAACTTTATTCTGCCAAAACTTATTGCTGAAGGGTCTCTCTGATTGTGGTCTATATGAAGATCTTTTATCTGTTTACCTGAAATGCCGGTTCTTCAATTGCCCATCTGATGATTTTACATTTCCTTTCGTGATTAAGGCTTGTTCAGCTCTAGGTGCTTCTGGGTTTGGAGAACAGATTCATTCCATTGTTTTGAGAAAAGGGTATGAAAGAAATGTTGTCATCATGACTTCTTTTATTGATTTTTATGCGAGAAATGTTGATATAGGGGTTGCGCGGAAGCTGTTTGATAAAATTTCTGAACCTGACGTGGTTTCATGGAATGCTTTGGTTTCTGCTTACTGTCTTAATGGACATGATAAAGAAGCATTGGGGGTTTTCAGGGAAATTCAGGGTACAAACATAAAGCCTAATGTGAGTACTTTGGCTAGTATAATTCCTGCCTGTAAGCGGTCGGGGTATTTTTGTTATGGTAAATCTCTGCATGGTTTCGCTGTTAAATGTGGATATTTCTTGGATGATTTTCTGGTTCCTGCTTTTATTTCGATGTATAAAAGTGAAGTGGATTTATCTAGTGCCAGGAAATCGTTTGACTTCGCTGTGGAAGGGAATGTTTCTGTGTGGAATTCTATAATCAATTGTTACATGCAGAACGAGAGGTTTTTTGATGGTTTTGAGATGTTTCGTGAAATGCTTCGAAATGAAGTGAAGCCTAACTCTGTCACGTTTGTGTCTACGGTTCCCCATTGTGAGAACTATTTTGATATTTGCTATGGTGGATCTCTCCATTGTTGTGTTATTAAACATGGTTTTGGAAGTCAGGTTTCTGTATTGACAGCACTCATGTCGATGTATGCTAAGCTTGGGGAAATAAGTTTGTCTGAAATCTTGTTTGATCATATGCTGAACAAAACACCGCTCTCATGGAATGTGATGATTTCTGGCTATGTAAATAATGGACTACGGGAGGAAAGTTTGGTTGCATTTCGTGAAATGCAGTTGGAAGGGTTCAGTCTTGATGTAGTCTCTATTGTTTGCATCCTCTCTGCCTGCTCAAACCTAGGTGACATTTTACTTGGTGAATCAATACATGCATTTGTCGTTAGAAGAAGTTTTGAAACGAATATTGATGTTTCAAATGCAGTCCTAGCATTTTACTCTGATTGTCGTTTACTCTCCACTTGTTTTAGGCTATTTGAAAGAATGGCTACTAAAAATACAGTATCATGGAATACTTTGATATCTGCATATGTACACTGTGGACAAAAGGAGAAGGCAAATATGATTCTTCACCAGATGCAGAAAGCAGGAGTGAAGTTGGATTCTGTAACTTTGCTAAGCATCCTTTCTTGTTACACCGAGAGTGAAGATTTCAGGCAAGGAAAAATACTTCATGGTTTTGCCATCAAAACTGGGTGTGACTCTGATGTTTCATTGACTAATGCACTAATTTTTTTGTATTGTAAATGTGGAGAACTGGATGCTGGATTGGTATTGTTTGATATCATGCCAGAAAGAAGTGTGGCTTCTTGGAATTCATTAATGACTGGCTTCCGGCATCAGAACTTACCCAAGAATGGTTTAGTCTTGTTTTCCCAAATGATGAATGAGAATCAAAGACCAAATCAAGTGAGTATACTAAATATATTGCCCATGTGTCGCTTGCTATCACAGGGTAATTCCATCCATGCTTTTGCACTCAGAACAGGAATGATAAAGGAAACCCCTGTTCTTACATCTCTTATCTTCATGTATGCTAGATTTGGTAAAATAAGTTTGAGCCTCCTAGTTTTTCAAATGGGAAAAAGGCGGGATATTTCTTTGTGGAATGCCATCATGAATGTGCTTGCTGAAACCAAAAATGCCGAACAAGCAGTTGCTGTTTTTCGTGAACTGCTCCAGATAAGTTTGGAACCTGACAGTGTAACAGTTTTAAGTTTAATCTCCTCTTGTGTTCTAGTAAAAAGATTAAATCTAGCAGATTCTGTGATGGCCTATATCATACGCAAGGGCTTTGACAAAGACGTGGTAATTGGTAATGCCCTCATAGACCTATATGCAAGATGTGGAAGCATCATGGTTGCGAGATTGCTGTTTGACTACATGCTTGAAAAGGATGCCATCTCTTGGAGTGTGATGATTAATGGATACAGATTGCATGGAAACGCTAGGGGTGCCCTTGAACTTTTCTCGAGGATGCAACTTTCAGGGATGAACCCTGATGCCATTACTTATTCAAGTCTTTTATCAGCTTGTGGACATGGTGGTTTAGTTGAGGAAGGCCAAAGAGTATTCAACTCTATGGTTGAAGATGGGGAATCTCCAAGAACAGATCACTATGCTTGTATGGTTGACCTTCTTGCACGAGCCGGTCACTTGCATGAAGCTTATGATATAGTCGATAGACTGCCATTCAAACCTTCTGTAGGCATGCTTCAATCCTTGTTAGGTGCTTGTAAGATGTACGGGAACGTTGAAATTGGAGAGAGAATTTTTCAGGTACTCTTTAAAACGTACCCACAAAACTCAGAATCTTATGTGACACTTCATAGTATCTATGCAGCAGCTGGAAATTGGGAAGATGCCAATACAGTTAGGTCTCTCATGGAAGGAAGAAAACTAAGAAAAGTCCCTGGTTTTAGTCTAGTTGGAGATTAACATCACAATTAGCAGTCTTCTGAAGTGCGCTTACAGGAATGAATGTTAAGGCAGGTCGAGAACGCCAAGTAACCATGTGTGAAACGATCCACCGAGCCCCATATAGACTGTTGGTGGCCATATCAGTTGTCTGAAGCAAATATTCCAAAAGTAAAGAAATGTTGATAAAAGACCAACAATCACATATTCTTGGGTTCATCCTGGCCAGGTCTTCTTTCTAGAACTAGAAAGTCAAACTATCCATACGTGAAATGCAAACAGGAAGTGACTGAAAAGAAGTATAAATGATGCAGCCTGGAGAAAGAAAGCAGATGGTTTACCTTCAGTTGCCATAACAGATAAGTAGCGTAAAAATGATCGGTGGAGAAGAATATGAATAAATACTTTTCAACACAGATATTGTACTTAAAATATTAATAGTGAAGTATTATAATTATAATTATTACTTATATATTAAAATATAAATAATTTTAAATTAATATATTTTTTATTTATAATATAATATCTAAAATAAAAAAATGCCTCAATTGGATAAGATCGTTATATTTATTATCATGGCTTCTTTCTGTTTTATTATAATGGTTCCGTGCATCCTTTTGCTTTTAATGGTTTTGTATATTTTTTTAATGTTTAAACATTATAAGAGTTTCATGGAGACGGTCTCTCACATAAATAGAGAGGTACCTCGTCCAAAGTTCTTTAATATTAATACCAAATAATAAAATTTTAAAATTAACTTTTTTTAAAGTATTTTCTAACCACACTTTCTTAAAATACTTTTAAAAAATAACATTAAAGTGTTAGGCACTGCTTATAACTCTAAAAAGTGTTTTTTTTAAGTTTGGCTAACAGGACAAAATTGATGATACAAACACATGTTATCCTCTGATTCATTTAAATTAAAAAATATATAATTTTAGAAATAATATTAAAATATAGGGTTAATTACATGATTGATCACTTGTATTTGTGTTTTGTCTATTTTTTCTCACTGATTTCAAAATATATAATATATGATCTCTTTCGTTTTTATTCAGTTAAGATGTGATCATCACGGTTTAACTGTCGTTAACAGTTAACAAATTAGGTGATATGTCACTTAAATATTTTGGTATAATCACATATTTGATTCATGTCATTTACATATTCTCTCAATTTAGTCATACTTTTAATAAATTAAAATATATTTATTCCTTCAATCGAATGATGTCACATATCGTACCACATGTTACCATTTGATTGAAAGACTAATTTTATTTTTAATATATTTATTTTCAGCAATTAGAAGGTAACATGTCTCATCCTCTTTAAGTTTTAGGCACTACTTATAACTCTAAAAAGTGTTCTTTTTTAAGTTTGGCTAACAGGACAAAATTGATGATACAAACACATGTTATCCTCTGATTCATTTAAATTAAAAAATATATAATTTTAGAAATAATATTAAAATATAGGGTTAATTACATGATTGATCACTTGTATTTGTGTTTTGTCTATTTTTTCTCACTGATTTCAAAATATATAATATATGATCTCTTTCGTTTTTATTCAGTTAAGATGTGATTATCACGGTTTAACTGTCGTTAACAGTTAACAAATTAGGTGATATGTCACTTAAATATTTTGGTATAATCACATATTTGATTCATGTCATTTACATATTCTCTCAATTTAGTCATACTTTTAATAAATTAAAATATATTTATTCCTCCAATCGAATGATGTCACATGTCGTACCACATGTTACCATTTGATTGAAAGACTAATTTTATTTTTAATATATTTATTTTCAGCAATTAGAAGGTAACATGTCTCATCCTCTTGTTCAGAGAAAAAAAAACTAAACAAATTGGGGCTAAAGAGAATGAAATTTAGGTCTTTTGGGAAATCAAATATGTACCAGATCATTAAGCCAAGATCAATATTTGTTTTAAAATAGAAAAAATGATGTATATATTTTGTGTCTTATTGTGTAAATACTTAACTTTCTTTTGATTAAATAAATACTTAACTTAAATTCATATATTAACGTTAAAAAAATTTTTTATATTAATTTATTAAATATATTTTATGTTTAACTTAATTTAAAATTATTTTATTTTTATTTTAAAAATATAATGACATTTTAAAATTAATCAGGAGGGAAGAAAGAGAAATATCTTCGTATTTAGATTTAACGAAGATGAGCTACTCGATCTTATTTGATGGTTTAGTATCGTTATTTATAAATATTTGAACATTCTGTATCTATCTTAAAGGTTCGATAATTTTTATTAATAAGAAATTTGTTTGTTGTGTAACCTTAGGTAAATAAATACAACGTTCGATTATAATATTTCTTATTTCTTTCCAAAAAAGAAAAATCACCATTCTACCTTATATTAGATGGTGTTTCCCCTCGATTTGAAATGCCGAAGTGTTGTCAATTTAACTTAAAATTATTGAGAAGAAATATTGAGAAGACCCACCAAGCTAAACACAACTACACAAACCTCTAATTATGGAAAATGATGATGATGAGATTGATGGTGAAGTTCCTCCCCTTGCACCAATGCCACAGTCAACTTTAACACCAACGACGCGACGTCACTTAAAGTGAACTATCGGTCGTATATGGACTTCTCCAACTGAGGAGTCTAATAAAGACACACTACCACCTGCCACAGATGAATTTGACCAGCCCATTGCAGCATTACGGAAAAAACGCGTTAAGCACATGGCACTAAAGTCAACCCCACCACCAAAGTTGGATTTAGTAAAGTTACCTTGCATTGCATTGCATTTCATTTATCTTAGTTTTAATTTAGTTTTCATGCATTAAAGATAATGCTTTCTCCAAGTTCGGGGGAGGTAGTGTTCATAATTGATCATTTGCATTTCTAGTTATTAACAGAACTTTGCTATGACATTTGTTTGATTTAGAGATAGTTTATTGAATAAGTTGATGAAGTTCGACGATGAGAATTTTTTATGGCTATATTTGAATGTCTATGACTATTGGGATTGGTAGAATCGACTTTAGGACATGATTCTTTACGATTACAAGTTCTCTATACTTAAGTGTAACACCCTAAACACGATTGGGCTAAAGTGCCACACTAGGCTACGAAGGCAACCCCTAATTTTCAAAACATATTCATTTTTCTTTTATACTTAATGGATGGTATCATAATTAAAATATAAATAACTGATATAAAACATTTTACAAAACCAGAGCTCCATGACACATACTTTAAAATAAAATAATACATCTTGCTGTTTACAACTCAAATACTTAAGTAAGGTTCTATGAATATAGATGCCCACTAAAGCTACAGTACAATACTCTGTCGGAGATGCTGGAAGCCCTTCCGTGACGGTGCTCCACGAATTGCATAAGCTACTGACCTGCCAACAAAAAACATCCGAATGTTGAGCTTATAAAGTCCAGTAGTATAATCGCTAATCTAGAGCAACATAAGAATTTCATAAACATAAGCATGATAAAGACATGGTACTAAGCAATAGGTGATGCTACGAAATTGATACAACATTCAACGCAAGTGCATGTTTCGCATATTAAGTAATAAACTGGAAACTTCAGGAGTTTCAAGTGTCAAACCCACAGGGAGTAGAGTGTTATCATTAGATTTTTTAACAATATGATTTGCCAAAAATCACGATATGCTAGAAAGAAAGTAATGAAATCAATAACGAAAAACACCAGTTCATGCTACAACATTTCAGAAAGCAATTGGTCAATTATTGAATGAAATGATTTAATATTACGACTTCCAAGTTTTATGCAAATAGTTCACACTTAATCCAAGTGATCAAAACTGATTAAAACCATTTGAACTACTTTAATAACTTTCATTAATTAAAGGTTAAAACTATTCTCAATTCTAATCAATTGGTTGCACACTTTTCAGTATACCGATGTTGCTCAGCAACACCAATGCTCACAAACGTATATATCAATTTGAATAAAGCTATTTCTAGATTAAAATGAAAATGCTATATATCTAGTTGTAAATATTTCTACTCACAATCATGAAGTTCAAACCTTATAAACTAAGTATCGAAGTAAACACAAAATTAAGAAGTTCATAATAAAAATCCAACAAAACTTTATACATTCAATCACTCCTTCTCTCAATAGAAGGAATTGAGTGATGATCCGTTGACTGCTGAAGCTCCTGAGCAAGCTTCCTTCGTGCTGCAACAATCCCTGGAAAAATACTTAGGCTTCCATGGCTTGGGAAGATTTAAGTGGAAAATGGTACTTTGGATCTCTCATAATCGTCATACTTTTTGGACCCAAGTACTCCCTTTTTATAGTTTGGATGAGAATTTCATCGCCCAATAGGAAATGTCCACATTTCAAGTGTTATCCAACTACATGACATCTACCCGAGCCAACTGTCCCAATCCAGAAGTTTCTCGTAATCGTTTGGAGCTTGGATGACCACCAAAGCATCCGATCAACATTTCCTGCAATGGTGCGGCGTCAGTGCAATAGTTTTCAGCAACAAAAAAATCAATTTTAGCACTTACCCACATTGCTCCTACTATGCAACGTATGTAAAAATAAGTAATTTTGAACATAAATGCTCCTAAATATGCATAAGTTCAAACTAAACCTAGGTGAAAATGCTACTAAAGATAACTCGTTTGGAGAGTTATCAAACCCCCAAACCAAGTGCTTGTTTGTTCGCAAGCATCAACATGCATAAAATATCTAAACAACAATGCCACAAAATAAATTTAAGAAATTAACCAAGCAAATAAGATCCATTTTCAGTCCTCAACTGATGCTGTGAAGCATATATGTAATCTCAAATAAAAAATACCATTTCATCCTATCAGAATCAGAATCCTCATAGTGCAGTGTGTGTAATATAGGTGTATCCAATCAATACTTAGCTAAGTTAGAAAATTTTGCTGTAACACCCTTAGCATGTATATGTCTCGTAATACAAGCTAAATGCGTCACATCAAATCAACTGACATTTATTGAACTTAAATACTAAAAAAAATTGTTTCATTTAATAATTTCCTTTTT